TCACTGTCACTTATCTAAGGGGAAGAATCACAATACAAACCCAAACCAAATGCTTCATTCCACAACACTACAAAGCCTAGAGACTAAAAGATGGAGATCTGATTCAAAGAGTTACTAAACACTTAACTTCCCTAAACGTCCATTTAGAAAATGTATCAGGCTGGGCGCAGGGCCTTGCGCCTGTAATCCCAGAACTTTGGGAGGCCGAGGCTGGTGGATCACTGAGGTCGGAAGTTTGTGACCAGCCTGGGCAACATGGGGAAACCTTGTTTCTACTAAAAATACAAAATTAGCCAGGCGTGGTAGTGCATGTCTGTAATCCCAGCTACTCGGGAGGCTGAGACAGGAGAACTGCTTGAACCCGGGAGGCAGAAGTGGCGGTGAGCCAAGATTGCACCATTGAACTCCAGCCTGGGGAACAAGAACAAAACTCCATCTCACAACAAAAAAGAAAAAAAAAAAATCAATGGATGTGAAAACATAAATGTTGCAGATTGCTAACTACATATAATCATGATAAATACAATGAAAAATAAAGTGTGGTCGGCACACAGTGGCTCAATTCTGTAATCCCAGCACTGTGGGAGGCTGAGGCGGGTGGATCACCTGAGGTCAGGAGTTCGAGGCCAGCCCAGCCAACACGGTGAAAACCCATCTCTATTAAAAATACAAAAATTAGCTGGGCATGGTGGTACACAACTATAATCCCAGCTACTTGGGAGGCTGAGGCAGGAGAATTGCTTGAACCCTGGAGGCAGAGGTTGCAGTGAGCCCAGACCGTACCACTGCACTCCAGCATAGGCAACAGAGTGAGACTCCATCTCAAAAGAAAAAAAAAGAAGTGATCAAAAAAAAAAAAAAAAAAAAAAATTTGGCCGGGCACGGTGGCTCACGCTTGTAATCCCAGCACTCTGGGAGGCCGAGATGGGCGGAACACGAGGTCAGGAGATCGAGATCATCCTGGCTAACACAGTGAAACCCCGTCTCTACTAAAAAAACAAAAAAATCAGCCGGGCGCGATGGCTCACGCCTGTAATCCCAGCACTTTGGGAGGATGAGGCCGGCGGATCACCTGAGGTCTGGAGTTCGAGACCAGCCTGACAAACATGGTGAAACCCCGTCTTTAATAAAAATACAAAAATTAGCCGTGAGTGGTGGCCGGCACCTGTAGTCTCAGCTACATGGGAGGCTGAGGCAGGAGAATTGCTTGAACCTGGGAGGCGGAGGTTGCAGCGAGCCAAGATCGCACCATTGCACTCCAGCCTGGGAGACAGAGCGAGACTCCGTCCCAAGAAAAAAAAAAAAAAATACAAAAAAAATCAGCCAGGTGTGGTGGCAGGCGTCTTTAGTCCCAGCTACTCTGGAGACTGACGCAGGAGAATGGCATGAACCCAGTAGGCAGAGCTTGCAAGCTTGCAGTGAGCCGAGATCGCGCCACCGCACTCCAGCCTGGGCGACAGAGCGAGACTCCATCTCAAAAAAAAAAAAAAAAAAAGTTTTTTACTTATTTTCCCCAACTCGTTCCTACAATGGAAGTCTCATGAATACAAACGTTCCTTAAAAACAGAAAAAAGAAGTCAGGCGCAGTGGCTCACGCCTACAATCCCAGCACTTTGGGAGGCCGAGGCAGGAGGATCATGAGGTCAAGAGATCAAGACCATCCTGGCCAACATGGTGAAACCCCGTCTCTACTAAAAATACAAAAATTAGCTGGGCATGGTGGTGCATGCCTGTAGTCCCAAGTACTTGGGAGGCTGAGGAAGGAGAATCGCTTGAACCTGGGAGGCAGAGATTGCAGTGAGCCAAGATTGCGCCACTGCACTCCAGCCTGGGCGACAGAGGGAGACTCCATCTCAAAAAAAAAAAAAGAAAAGAAAAGAAAAAGAGAGACTGGGCAAGGTGGATTACACCTGTAACGCCAGCACTTTGGGAGGCCAAGACAGTTGGATCACGTAAGCCCAGGAGTTCCAGGCTGCAATGAGCTATGACTACACCACTGCACTCCAGCGGTGCAATACAGCAAGAGCAGCGGTGCAATACCAGAGCAGCCTGGGCAATACAGCAAGACCCTGTCAAAAAAAAAAAAGAAAAGAAAAGAAAAAGAAAAAAAGAAAAGAAAGAGAGAAAAAGAAAGAAAGAAAGAAGGAAAGAAAGAAAGAAAGAAAAGAATTTTTAAGTGTGCACAACACCAAATTATTCATCAAGTTTAAGAATCAAGATAACATCTTCAGAAGACTGTGTATCCTCCTGAGCCATGCAATTATTCTTAAATCCCATGAGGAAATAAACTAATATTTTAGTATGAACTTCTTAAATAATTTTAGTCAATAGAAAATGCTCAAGTCTCTATTAACAACTTTGATTAGGCCTTCTCCATAACTGGTAGCGCAGGTCATGAGCAGAACTGAGAAAGAGAATTATAAACCTATTACGAATTGTGGAGAACAACTCCACTCACTATTTTCTCCATAAAGGCAGTTTATTACACTGAGATCAACATGTTATCACTCACACTAGTGATGTAAAAAATATTCCATTTCAACATAAGGTTCAGACCAAAAAACGAAAAAACAAAAAACCCATCCACGAGAATCTATCTATCTTTGACAACAAAACTACACTATTTTGGGATTAAGTTTAAGTGACAAGACAATGTAAACTGGGGGCTTGTTCTCTCTGGAAATCACCACTACCAATGCTGCTTCTGAAAGCAGGCTGCACACAACCATTTTTCCTCTGGAAACAGCTAAATTCCAAGGTACGATATTGCTGTATTTATTTATTTATTTATTTGACGGGGTCTTGCTCTGTCACCCAGGCGGGAGTGCAGTAGTGCAATCTTGGCTCACTGCAGCCTCCACCTCCCAGGTTCAAGCAATTCTCACGCCTCAGCCTCCCAAGTAGCTGGTATTCCAGGGGCACACCACCACGCCCGGCTAATTTTTGTATTTTTTGTAGAGACATGGTTTCACCATGTTGGCCAGGCTGGTCTCGAACTCCTGACCCTCAGGTGATCCACCTACCTCGACGTCCCAAAGTGCTGGGATTACAGGCATGAGCCACTGCACCCGGCAGACATTGCTGTATTTATAAATGTATCTTTTTGTACCAATTAATACACTATAAATTATAATTGCAAGTGTTTCTCACTAAGATTAAGTCCAGGTTTAAAAGCAATAAGCCAATCAAATAAACAAAAAACTATGTGAAATAGTTTCAAAAGATTAAAAAGATGGATTTAAATAAAAACTTGTTTACCTGACGCTAAAAAGTAAAAGATAAAAGCACGTAAATAAAAATGTGTTTACCTGACACTAAAAAACAAAAGATTAAAAACATGTTCTGGCGGAACTGAAAGAATAAGTATAACCTGGAATATTGTTTTAATCAAGTTAGACAAGGGTTTTCATTAAATGTCATTTTATTAATTCGAAATTACATCTTTCACCTTAAGCGTTTTGACATTTCCATCAACTTTCTAAAAGTGAGGGTAGATTGTTTTTCTATGTTTTTAATAGACTTGCCTCTCAAAAGAATGAATTAGATAAAAACTGATGAGAGAAACCTTTCCTCAACCTCCTCCTCCTCTTCAATGAGCATCTGAGTAAACCCTGGCTATAAATTACTGTTTAGGTCATAATCCTGAAAAATTTGCCTTAGACAATGACGTAACTAAGGCCCATTTTCTCTTTGTATCTGGACATCCTGTCAACTTTTTGCTTTACAAACCTGTTTTTCATCACAACCAATTTTCACACACAGGAATGTAATCGTGTTTTCCAACGTCCAGGAGCCAAAAATCATTATTTAGTCTATTTTTCCATTTCTCCCCAAAGAGCAGAATTCTCCTCAGGGTACATTTCTGAACGGAGGAAAGGCTGTCTAACGAGGAGCTCGGGGTTCCCGACAGCGGCACTGAGGATCCGCGCGGAGCCCCCGCGTGGAGCCTGCGATGCCCTCCCCACCCCGCGAACCCGGCCGTGCGCAGCAAACACGGCGTGAGGCGCACAGGCCGCTGGCCAGGAGCAGGGCCCAGCCCACCGCTCCCAAACGCGCCGCGGGCAGCTGTCGCGCGGGCTGCACAATGACGAGCGCCCCGCGGCCCGCAGGCCCAGGCCCACCCAGGGCCGCCCCAACGCCCTCCGCACAGCGGATCTGCGCCGCCGCCCGCCACGAGGCTCTGACCCCCGAGGGGCCCCGGCCCGCCCCGGCCTGACGCCGCCCTTCCCTGCGGGTCCCGGCCGGACCCTCCCGGGGGTATCCCGTGGCAAACGGGGGGCGGAGGGGGCGGAAGGGCCGGGGACGCTGAGGGTAAGGCGGCCCAGCTGGGGGCGTTGCAAGGACTACGAGGGAAAGGGGCCCGGCGGCCTCACCCGAAACGGGGGGCGGCTCTCCCGCGTCGTCGGCCGCGGGCGCCAGGGTGACGGCGCCGTCCCTCCAGACGCGGATCTGCGCGGCCGAGCGCACACGGCGGCGGGGCTGGCGGCGGCGGGCGGCGGCGCGCAGGGAGCCGCAGCACTGGTAGCACACGGCCCACGCCTGCTCCTCGTTGATGGGCTGGTTGTAGAGCCGCAGGATCTCCTCCAGGCTCAGCGCGTCCTGCGAGCCCCCGGCCGCGCCGCCGGCTGCCTCGGGCTCCCGCGGCCCCTCGCCGCCCCCCGCCTCAGCCCGCGGCTCCCCGCCGCCCGCCGGGCCGGCCGCCTGAGCCATCCCGCGGGTGGGCGCTGCGCTCGGCAGTCGCGCCGTGTGCCGGCGTCTCCTCAGCCCCGGAGCATCGTCTCCGCGCGCCGCCGCCTCACCATCCCCGGAACCGCCACCGCCCAACGCGGCCGCGCGCGCCGCCGCCGGGACCAGGCGAGTGCCCGGGAGGCGTGGGCGAGAGGAGGGCGGCGAGGACACGGCTGCAGTCCGGAGCAGACCGCCGCCGGCCGGTAGCGACGCGATGGCGTCCGGCGCCCCGCCCCGCCCCGCCTCGCGCAGTCCGGCGCCGCCCAGCGCCCGCCCCTCAGGGGGCCGCACGGGCCGGGGGATGCACGCTCTGGAGGTGAGGACCGGGCAGGACGGCCTGGCCTCGAGGCGAGATGGCCGCACGGTCTCTAGTGGGCCGCGACCCGCAAGGCTCGCAGAGTCGCAGGTGGTGACGCGCGGTCGGGGGCCCGGTCGCAGGGGACACACAGCTGGGGGCGCGATGGTGAGGGCGGCGACGCACGGTCCGGAGGGGACGCGCGGCCGGGTAGGGCGTGCAGGGTGGTGGGGCGTGGGGGACACGCGGGGCCGGGGTCGGACGCGCGGTCGGGGGGCGCAGGGGCAAGAGGGGCTCGCATTTATCACGGAAGCCCCCAGCCGACTCTGGCGGGGAACTGAGCGCGCCAACGCGGGTCACCGCCCTGCACAGCGGGAGAAGTCACCGCATTGACGTTCCCTAGGCGCTGGACGGCCGAAGGTCTGGTTGAGAACTTGAACCCGCCTGAAGCGGAGGCCTGAGAAAATGCAGGCCCGCTGAAGCCCGCCCGCCGGCCCTGAGCCCTGAAAGCCTCCCGCAGTTTCCCCTGACCCCGCGGCCGCTCTGCGCCTTTTCCGATTTCTTGCTGGTTGAATACCTCCCTCTCCACTCCCAACTTCAGGGTAAGCACCATAAAGATGGGGATCTTCACGGGTTTTCCTCACTGACGTCTCCCAAAAGCTAAACCAGGGCCTGGAATATAAACATGTCGTACATAATTTGCAGGTGTTCGTTTCAGCGTCCTTCCGGATTCATTTGTAACATTCGTCCCTTCCCTCACTAAGGTAGTGTCTCAAGTACCACACTCATCAGAGCGTGTGGAATGAATATCACAGTGGTAAAATTGAACTGAGGGCAATTAGCCATAGAAATAAAGAATTCCGCCCCCCCACCTATTAAATATGCAATAAAACGGATAATTATTAATCATCCATTGGTAGATGAATTTAATCGATAAAATTCCACTGAGGCTAGTCCTGTGTGAAAGCCCTACAGAGTGTTGAAAGCATCAACCAAATAGGCAATGTGTATTAAATTCCTGTCAACCTTTTACGGCAGTTTTATGTGAAATGTTAGAAATCACGCTTTCAACAATCGTATCTTGGGGTAGAAACTACAACAGTCTATTTAAATTACAACCGTCTATGAAAATAAGATACCATCTTACATACAGCTGGGATGGGGAGGAGGGAGAAAAGCAACAGGACGAAAAGGAAGATGAAGAAATTGAAAGAGGGTCGTGCGCAGTAGTTTAGGCCTGTAATCCCAGCACTTTGGGAGGCTGAGGCGGGACGATCACTGACGTCAGGAGTTCAAGACCAGCCTGGACAACATGGTGAAACCCTGTCTCTACTAAAAATACAAAGAAAATTAGCCGGGTGTGGTGACGCACGCTTGTAATCCCAGGTACCCGGGAGGGTGAGGCAGGAGAATCGCTGGAACTTGGGAGATGGAGGTTACAGTGAGCCGAGATCACACCATTGCACTCCAGCCTGGGGGACAGAGCAAGAGTCAGTCTCAAAAGTAAATAAATAAGTAAAAAATAAATTGGAAGAGGAGAAGAAAGCTCTCCAGGCAATTTATTATAATTTCAGTACGAGAGATACAAAACAACCCCTTAAAGTAGTATCACTTAATTATAGGTTCCTAATCTCATTTGTAACAATGCAGTATCTATGCGTGCCAAAGCCCGGAGAGGCAAACATATAATTCCTTATGTGTGACACTATATATATATAAATATATCTCTGTCCTCTTGATTAAAAACAGACAAACATTACCATATTTTGCTATTTCAAAAGTGTATCCAGTGTGAATTTTGAAAATACAGACTGGTTTAAAATATTTTGAACAAGCCAGGGAAAAAAATGATCTACTTTTATGGACAACACTACCACCTTCTGGCCTTATGGGATACTGCTGCCCATTGCACTTGGACAACTACAGCCAAAAACATTTTTGTCTTTGCCTTTCCCACCAGTAAACAAGATAAATGGGTTTAATAAACTGGGGAATCTATGAGCCATTAACCTGCTAATCCTGGCATAGGGTAGTAAATAAATCTTGAAGACAACAGTACAGGGAAGGAGGAAGTGAGTAAAGGAAATCCGAACTTTATTTTTTAAAAGATGTATTATTTTTTTAGTCATCCCTCTAATCAATGGAAAAAGATGCAGTTTCTCTTTTTTTTTGATTGAGACAGAGTCTCACTTGGTCACCCAGGCTAGGGTCAGTGCCGTGATTTCAGCTCACTGCAACCTCCGCCTCCTGGGTTGAGACGATTCTCATGCCTCGGCCTCTGGAGTAGCTAGGATTACAGGCACACGCTACCATGCCTGGCTAACTTTTGTATTTTTAGTAAAGACAGGCTTTCACCAAGTTGGCCAGGCTGGTCTCAAACTCCTGACCTCAGTAGTCCACCCACCTCAGCCTCCAAAAGTGCTGGGATTACAGATGTGAGCCACTGTGCCCGGCCAAAAGATGCATTCTTAAAAACAAATTTGCAACACTGGGATTTTCCTTGAGTGATGATTGTTTAAATATATACACATTTTGAGAGGGAGACATTACTGCACTGTATCACAGGACGGTTATATTCAACACAGGAGCTTTTTTTTTTTTTTTGTCAAGTAACAATTCATGGCTATGATATACTTAAATATTTTGCCTGTGTGAGCATATATGTAATTAAGTTGAGGAAAGATGACAAGTAGAATATTGTGTGATGTTTCTTCTCTACACAAAATAAAGGAAAATCTTTAAAATCCTAGCAGTCTTCTAAGTTTAGTTATACAACATGAACGCTTGACTCTTTTTTGTATAAAGACCATAACTTACTAACTTCTACATGATTTTCAGTACTCCTTAAAGTTTTGATAAGCTGGCCGGGCATGGTGGCTCACGCCTGTAATCCTAGCACTTTGGGAGGCCGAGGCAGGCAGATCACCTGAGGTCAGGAGTTCGAGACCAGCCTGGCCAACATGGCAAAAACCCATCTCTACTAAAAATACAAAAATTAGCTGGGCATGGTGGCAGGCACCTGTAATCACAGCTACTTGGGAGGCTGAGGCAGGAGAATCACTTGAACCTGGGAGGCAGAGACTACAGTGAGCCGAGATTGCACCATTGCACCCCCAGCCTGGGCGACAAGAGTGAAACTTTGTCTCAAAAAAGCAGAAAAAAAAATTGATAAGCCTTACTGTTCTCCATCATCACAACACTCTGAAAGTGACTGCTGACCACTCAAAGGCTACCAGCAGTTAATATCTTCTCAGTGGAGTTCAAGCAGCCCTGTGGAATAACAGCACTGTCCCATTTTCTCATTTTCAATTCATATTTGGGGCCAGGCGCAGTGGCTCATGCCTGCAATCCCAGCACTTTGGAAAGCCAACGCAGACAGATCACCTGAGGCCAGGAGTTTGAGACCAGCCTGGCCAATGTGGTGAAACCTCATCTCTACTAAAAATGCAAAGAAAATTAGCCAGGCATGGTGATGCATGCCTGTAATCCCAGCTACTCGGGAGCCTGAGGCAGGAGAATCGCTTGAACCCAGGAAGCGGAGATTGCGGTGAGCCAAGATTGTACCACTGCACTCCAGCCTGGGTGACAGAGTGAGACTCCATCTCAAAGAGGAAAAAAAAAAAATCCAAAGATTGAAATGCCTTTATGTTCAGGATATTTTGTTCCCAATTTCAGTCATTGATTGTATTTTTACTCTGTGACTTCACATTTAAAATGTCTGAACAACTCAAATCAACATTTAAATGTCTTTTTCAAAGTGCTGTGAAGTCCGATGTGTTACTCTGAATATGGTTTTGTTTTTGTTGATTTTGTTATTTTTTAAAAATGGAATCCTTGACTTTTTTTATATTTACTTATTATTCTTGTAGAATAAATGTACTTCATGCTTCATACTCTGGAAGTGCTGGCCGCGCTGCTCTGAGTCTTTCAGGGAGCACCGTCACTGTGCAGCCCAAGCTTTTCCCAGACACTTGTGGACAGGTGCTCCTAAGGGGCACATTCACCTAGAAAAGTGCACCAGAAAGGAAAAAAAAAAAAAAAAACAGCATATTTTTTAATGTTGTAACCTAAATTTTCATTGCCTACAATTGTAATACTTTATACATCTATAGTGATACTTCATACTTTCAAAATGTGCTCTTCAGTTATACAACTTGAAGGGTCAGATATTGTTATTTCTGTCTTACAGAGGAGAAAATACAGTCATAGGACAAAATGCAGAAGCAGTAAATGAAACAGGTGGGACTGGAACTCAGGCCTCCTGACCAGCTCAGCTCTTTCTCCTACATTACAATGTCCGTGTACACTCACACACAGCGAGAATGAAGTCCTGAGCCTGGCCGTGGGGACTCACACCTGTAATCCCAGCACTGTGGTAGGCTGAGGCGGGAGCATCATTTGAGCTCACAAGTTTGAGACCAGCCTGGGCAATGTGACGAAAATCCATCTCTACAAAAAATACAAAAAATTAACCAGGTGTGGTGGTACACGCCTATAATCCCAGCTGCTCAGAAGGCTGAGGCACAAGAATCACTTGAACCCTGGAGGCAGAGGCTGCAGTGACCCGAGATCATGCCACTGCACTCCAGCCTGGGCAATACAGTGAGACCTTGTCTCAAAAAAAAAAAAAAGAAAAAAGAAAAAAAATGTTTTGAGGAAAAGTAGAGGATTGAGATAAAAGGTATTAACAGTAGTGTATCAGTGGGTTCATGAGAGACCTTGGAAAATACTAGGCTAAGCAATAATCATGTTTCACCTACTTAATGTGATTGATTCTCCTTTAAGATAATTATTTTTAAACCATTATAGATGTATGATGTTCTGATCTGAATATAAGTGTAATTATTAGCTTCAACTAGTTAAGAAGATTTGTCTTCGAAAAGACTTCATAAATATGAATTTTAGGCCAAGCCACTATTTTATGCTTACAGAAATTGGAGCCTATAAAGGTTAAGTGACTTACCCCAAATTACTGCTAGTTGGCCTGAGATAATTCAAATATATTTCCTATAACACAAACTTTCCAAATACTCTTTTATAGCCGTATTACATAATTCTGATCAGATTTCAAATGTTAGGACAAGCAGTAGCTTACTCCTTAATTCCAGTGGGAAATTAAAAACAAAATAAGGCCCAAAAATATCTATTCTTTGAGACAGTCGCTTGAGGCCAAGGCTTGAGTGCAGTGGAATGATCTCAGCTCACTGCAACCTCCACCTCCTAGGTTCAAGCAATCCTCCCACCTCAACCTTCCAAGTAGCTGGGACCACAGGTGCACACCAATACCTGGCTAACTGTTGTACTTTTTTGCAGAGACAAAAAAGAGACAGGGTTTCACCATGTTGCCCAGGCTGGTCTGGAACTCCTGAGCTCAGGTAATCCACCCACCTCTTCCTCCCAAAGTGCTGGGATTACAGGTGTAAGCACCACAACTGGCCACAAAAATACCTTTGTTTTTTTTTGTTTTTTTTTTGTTTTTTTTTTTTTGAGACGGAGTCTCGCTCTGTCGCCCGGGCTGGAGTGCAGTGGCCGGATATCAGCTCACTGCAAGCTCCGCCTCCTGGGTTCACGCCATTCTCCTGCCTCAGCCTCCCGAGTAGCTGGGACTACAGGCGCCCGCCACCGCGCCCGGCTAGTTTTTTGTATTTTTTTTAGTAGAGACGGGGTTTCACCGTGTTAGCCAGGATGGTCTCGATCTCCTGACCTCGTGATCCGCCCGTCTCGGCCTCCCAAAGTGCTGGGATTACAGGCTTGAGCCACCGCGCCCGGCAATACCTTTGTTTTGTAGCAAAGTTTGATGTTTGACAATAATTGCTTAAAAATGGAGAATTCTCAATAAAATCTTAACCAGAGTTTTTGTGTTGTGTAAATTAAAGAAAAATTTTCAGACTGAATCACAGTTTGCTGATGAGACAATGCAAAAATATTTTTTCAAGCCTCCATTATTTAATTTTTCCTGAGTGTGTGTGTGTGAAGAGACAGAGTCTCATTCTGTTGCCCAGGCTTGATGGAGTCCAGTGGTGCAATCATAGCTCGTTGTAATCTCTAACTCCTGTGCTGAAAAGAATCCTCCCAGCCGGGCACAGTGGCTCATGCCTATAATCACAGCATTTTGGGAGGCTGAGGTGGGCAGATCACCTGAGGTCAGGAGTTCAAGACCAGCGTGACCAACATGGAGAAACCCCGTCTCTACTAAAAATACATAATTAGCTAGGCATAGTGGCGCATACCTGTAATCCCAGCTACCCGGGAGGCTTAGGCAGGAGAATCGCTTGAACCCAGCGGGGCGGAGGTTGTAGTGAGCTGAGATCTTGCCATTGCACTCCAGCCTGGGCAACCAGAGTGAAACTCCATCTCAAAAGAAAAAAAGAGTCCTCCCACTTCAGCCTCCTGAGTAGGCTGGGACTGCAGGGATGTGCCACCACACCCCACTAATTTTTAAAAACTTTTTGTAGGCCGGGCGTGGTGGCTCACGCCTATAATCCCAGCACTTTGGGAGGCCGAGGCGGGTGGATCACGAGGCCAGGAGATCGAGACCATCCTGGTTAACACGGTGAAACCCCATCTCTACTAAAAATACAAAAATTAGCCAGGCATGGCGGCATGTGCCTGTAGTCCCAGCTACTCAGGAGGCTGAGGCAAGAGATCGCTTGAACCCGGGAGGCAGAGATCTCAGTGAGCCAAGATCATGCCATTGATCTCCAGCTTGGGTGACAGAGTGAGACTCTGGCTCAAAAATTTTTTTTTTTTTGTAGAGAAAGGGTGTCAGTCTGCTGCCCAAGCTGGTCTCAAATTCCTGGGCTCAAGGTATCCTCCCACCTTGGCCTCCCAAAGTGCTGGGATTACAAGTTTGAACCATTATGCTTGGCTAATTTGTCCTGATTTTTTTTTTTTTTTTAAATACAGGGTCTTGCTCTGTGGCTCAGGCTGGAGTGCAGTGGTGCAATCTCTGCTCACTGCAACCTCTGCCTCCCAGGTTCAAGTGATTCTCCTGCCTCAGCCTCCTGAGTAGCTGGGATTACAGGTGCCCACCACCATGCCCAGCTAACTTTTGTATTTTTAGTAAAGCAGGGTTTCACCATTTTAGCCAGGCTGCTCTCGAACTCCTGAACTCAAGTGATCCACCCACCTCAGCCTCCTAAAGTGCTGGTGGGAGCCACTGCACCTGACTTATCCTAATCTTTATCGAGAAAAGATGGCCTTTTCCTGTTGCTCAAAAAAGGTGTTTTTTCCCTCATGTACAGGCAGAGGTCTAGAGCTGCTCCTGGCTCTTGTACTCTACTTTGACCCAATGAGAGCCTCATTTCTCTTCCAAGGTGAGTGTATAACCAACATAAAATATGACTTCCCTTTAATTCAACTAGATATTTAATGAATTCCGCACATTCCAGATGTGCTAAAAAGCTAGTCTTTAAGCTTTGCCTTAGTAATTTGTGTAGAAGGGTATAGGTAAAGGTATAGGCGTGGTGGTATGTGCCTGTGGTTCCAGCTACTCGGAGGCTGAGGTGGGAGGATTGCTTGAGCCCGGGAGGTAGAAGTTGCAGTGAGCCGAGTTCATGCCTTATATGTTACTTGTGCTTTTCCCTTAGGATTTCCCCTGAACTGTTCTGTTAACGTCAATTCCTGTCCTCCTGATCTTTTGTAGAAAGAGCCACTGATGGAACACTGTGTATTTCCCTTATGTGCCATACCTGTTCATACCTCTCAGGAACAGAAGTGTAACCCTTGCTCCCACTCTCGACCTAGCAATCTAATCCTTCTTAAGAGATGTTGGAAGAAAAATTATTGACATTGCAATTCATAAAAACATGACATCCCAGAGCTTAACCTAAAGTTGTAAGAGAGTATTTTAAAGAAACTTAATTTTCTTTTTTTTTTTTTTTTGGAAACGGAGTCTTGCCCTGTCACCCAGACTGGAGTGCAATGGCACAAGCTCTACTCACTACAACCTCCGCCTCCCGGCTTCAAGCAGTTCTCCTGCCTCAACCTCCCGACTAGCTGTGACTACAGATGCACGCCACACGCCCAGCTAATTTTTGTATTTTTAGTAGAGACGGGGTTTCACCATGTTGGCCAGGCTGATCTTGAACGCCTGACCTCGTGATCTGCCCACCCTGGCCTCCCAAAGTGCTGGGATTACAGGCGTGAGCCACCGTGCCTAGCCCAACACTATTTTAATGGTATCAAAATTATTCCTTTGTGGCTGGGCACAGTGGCTCATACTTGTAATCCCAGCATCTTGGGAGACTGAGACAGGAGGAATACTTGATGCCAGAAGTTCAAGACCAGACTGAGCAACATAGCAAGACCTCATCACTACAAAAAAAAAAAAAGGTTTAAAATTAGCCAGTCACAGTGGCATACAACTCTAGTCCTAGCTACTTAGGAGGCTGAGGCAAGAGGATCACTTGAGCCCAGGAGTTCTAGGTTAAAGTGAGCTGTGATCATGCCACTGTACTCCAGCCTGGGTGACAGAGTGAGACCCCTGGCTCAAAAAATTAAAAAAGTATTATCTTGCAAAATTTGCTAAGTAATGGTCATTCTTCAACTGTGATATTGTCATAATGCCATGGATGTTTTCAGGGTTAACAAAATTTTGTGGTATTCTTTTTTTTTTTTTTTGTGAGGTAGTGTCTCCCTCTATTGCCCAGGCTGGAGTGCAGTGTGCAATCATGGCTTGAAGCCTCGTGACATCCCGCCTCAATTGATCCTCCCACCTCAGCCTCCCAAATAGATGGGACTACAGGTGCACACACCATGCCTGGTTTTTGTTGTGTTTTGTTTTCTGTATTTTTGGTAGAGAGAGGGTTTCGCCACATTGCCCAAACTGATCTTGAACTCCTCGCTCAATTGATCCACCTGCCTTGGCCTCCCAAAGGGGTGGAATTACAGGCATGAGCCACCATACCCGGCCTGAAAAAAAAAAAAAAAAAACACAAGAAACTTTTGAATCGATTTATTCTACCACATTTAGAACAACCGCTGCTTATCATAGACAGGCTATTTGATTCTTCCAATCAGGTTTATCAAAACTGAAGATTCCAATTTAACATCTTTAATCCAAACATGTTTTATTAATATATTGACAAAAAAAGTAAATCTTATTCATAACTTGAGTTTAAAATTTAAAATTCCATATATTACTGAAGTTAAGCTAATATAAATCAATCTGATTCTGATAAATTAAGATGTATATGGAAAACATCACCAAACACAATTAAGATGTATGTGGAAACCCTAAAGCACACACTAAAAAACCCCTCAAAAATTAGTGATTTAAAAAAAAAACAAAAAATAGTCATAAAAATCATTAAAGAAATTAAAACATTAAATTAGAAAGTATTCTTTTGGGCTGGGTGTGGTGGCTCCCACCAGTAGTCCCAACACTTTGGGAGGCTGAGTCAGGAGGATCGCTTGAGGCCATGAGTTTAAGACCTGTATTTGAGTGAGACCTTGTTTCTACAAAAAAATTTTAAAAGTTAGCTGAGTGTGGTGGTACATGCCTATAGTCCCAGCTGCTCTGGAGGCTGAGGCCAGAGGATCTGTTGAGCCCAGGAGTTCAAAGCTGCAGTGAGCTATGATCACACCACTGCAGTCTAGCCCCAAAGACAGAGTGAGACACTGTCTCTTGAAATTAGGACAATATAATATTCGGCCGGGCGCGGTGGCTCTTGCCTGCAATCCCAGGACTTTGGGAGGCCAAGGCAGGTGGATCGCAAGGTCAGGAATTCAAGACCAGCCTGGCCAACATGGTGAAACCCCCATCTCTAGTGAAAATACAAAAATTAGCCATGCGTGGTGGCACGCAACTGTAGTCCCAGCTACTCAGGAGGCTAAGGCTGGAGAATTGCTTGAATCTGGGATGCAGATTCAAGTGAATCAGTATCATGCCACTGCACTCCACCCTGGGTGACAGAGCAAGACTCTGTCTCAAAAACAAAAAAGAAAAGAAAAGAAAGTATAATATTCACTTAACACAGAAGAAAGCAATAGACCTGCAGGTGCTTTCTGATCTTAAAAAAAAAAAAAAAAAAAAAAAAAAAAAACAAGAAAGCAGTAAGGGAGAAATAAAGGGGGGAAAAAAAAAACACGAGGCAAAAGAAAAGTAAGATGGCAAACACAAATCCAGCCATATCAATAATAGCATTAAATGTGAACGGGGCTGGGCGCAGTGGCTCACACCTGTAATCGCAGCACTTTGGGAGGCCGAGGCAGGTGTATCACCTGAGGTCAGGAGTTTGAGACCAGCCTGGCCAACATGGTGAGACCCTGTCCCGACTAAAAATACAAAAATTAGCCAGACATGTTGGTGCAGGCCTGTAATCCCAGCTACTTGGGAGGCTGAGGCAGGAGAATCACTTGAATCTGGGAGGTGGAGGTTGCGTTAATCTGAGTATCAAAATTATTTGAGTATCAAAACTGAGTATCATATATATATAATCTGAGTATCAAAATAATCAAAAAAAAAAAAAGAAGTGAATGGACTTAATCAAATCAAAAAGCTGAAACTGTCAGACTGGATTAAAAAAAGAAAATTCAACTATATGTTGTCTACCGAGCAAGATACGCTTTATTCCTTTTTTTTTTTTTTTTTTTTTGAGACAGAGTCTCGCTCTGCACCCAAGCTGGAGTGCAGTGGAGAGCAATCTCGGCTCACTGCAGCCTCTGCCTCCTGGGTTTAAGCGATTCCCCTGCCTCAGCCTCCCAAGTAGCTGGGATTACAGGCATGTGCCACCATGCCCAGCTAATTTTTGTATTTTTAGTAGAGACGGGGTTTCACCATGCTGGCTAGGCTGGTGGTGAACTGATCCCGGGTGATCTGCCCGCCTCAGCCTCCCAATTACAGGCTTGAGCCACCGCCCCCCGTCTTGTTTTTTTTTTTTTTTTTTTGAGACAGAATTTCACACTGTTTCCCAGACTGGAGTGCAGTGGTGTGATCTCAGCTCACTGCAACCTCCACCACCTCCCAGGTTCAAGCGATTCTCCTGTCTCAGCCTCCCGAGTAGCTGGGATTACAGGCATGCACCACCACACCCAGCTAATTTTGTATTTTTAGTAGAGACAGAGTTTCTCTATGTTGGTCAGGCTGGTCTCAAACTCCCGTCCTCAGGTGATCCGCCCGCCTTGGCCTCCCAAAGTGCTGGGATTACAGGCATGAGCCACCACGCCAGGCCCCAATTTTTTTATTTTTCATAGAGATGCAGTCTCACTATGTTGACTTGGATTGGCTCAAATTTTTATTCAATAGGTTTATGCTTGACTAATGAAAAATGAAGTTTCTGGGTTTTTTTTTTTTTTTTTTGAGACGGAGTCTCGCTCTGTCGCCCAGGCTGGAGTGCAGTGGCCAGATCTCAGCTCACTGCAAGCTCCGCCTCCCGGGTTCACGCCATTCTCCTGCCTCAGCCTCCCGAGCAGCTGGGACTACAGGCGCCCGCCACCTCGCCCGGCTAGTTTTTTTGTATTTTTTAGTAGAGACGGGGTTTCACTGGGTTAGCAAGGATGGTCTCGATCTCCTGACCTCGTGGTCCGCCCGTCTCGGCCTCCCAAAGTGCTGGGATTACAGGCTTGAGCCACTGCGCCCGGCCGAAGTTTCTGGGTTTCTGATACTTTTCTATTAACTAAATAGAGAGATATAAAAATACATATATATACACATATAGAGGGGACTGTCGGTATACATATTGTCAAGAACAACACCTTAGAGACATTGTTTTTTAAATTTTACATTTTTAATAGAAAAACAACTTTTATGACGGCTAAATATACAAGGTAAATTTAATTCTTAAAAAGAAAAATTGGCCAGGCATGGTGGCTCCTGCCTGTAATCCCAGCACTTTGGGAGGCCAAGGTGGGTGGATCACCTGAGGTCAGGAGTTTGAGGCCCACCTGACCAACATGCAGAAACCCCATCTCTACTAAAAAAAAAAAAAAAAAAATTAGCCAGATGTGATGGCAGGTGTCTGTAATCCCAGCTACTTGGGAGGCTGAGGCAGGAGAATCACTTGAACCCAGGAGGCAGAGGTTGTGGTGAGCTGAGATTGCGCTGTTGCACTCCAGCCTGGGCAACAAGAGCCAAACTCTTGTCTCAAAAAAAAAAAAAAAGAAAAAAATTATTAGTAAGAACAAGCCAGGCGTGATGGCTCATACCTGTAATCCCAGCACTTGGGGAGGCCGAGGCGGGCGGATTGCCTGAGCTCAAGAGTTCGCGACCAGCCTGGGCAACGAGGTGAAACCCCATCTCTAACAAACACAAAAAAATTAGCTGGGCGTGGCAGCATGTGCCTGTAGTCCCAGCTACTTGGGAGGCTGAGGCAGG